CCGCAGATGGAGCCGACTATTGCTCCGGCTGCCACCTCTCCTCGAGAGATGGCCTCCCCCCAGGGTGAGTCCCTCGGGTGGCGGGCCGTGCGTCCCGTCGTGGAACAGCACGGCCTCGGTCTTACCGGTAGCCACCTCGAGGCCCAGACCGCGGATGGGAGGTGGTGGCCTGGGCGTCCCGCTTAGGTCTCCACCTCGAGAACACTGGTACAACCAGTACATGTGTTCGACCGCAGGGGGAGTCCATAGTCGATCTGACATGGACTTCCCCTACGGCGGCGAGAATGGTGACCTCGTGGGGGGTGGTTGAGAGTCTCGAACTTCTCTCAGACCACCTTCCCATTGAGGTACGGCTCTTACAGGAGAGGAGGGGCGGAGCCCGAGAGCGTCCCGTAAGGTGGGCGGCCAGGAAGCTGGACCAGGACAGACTGGTGGAGTCCCTGGTCGCGGCGACCTGGTCTCAGCCTGGCCCACTGCAGTCAGTTGAGGAGGAGGCGAACAGGCTGCAGAGGATCATGACCGCGGCATGTGATAACGCAATGCCGCGCTACAAGTTCGACCCAAGGAGGGCAGCCTACTGGTGGTCGGAGGAGATTGCCGAGATGAGGCGCTCCTCAGTGGCTGCCAGGAGGGCTGTCCAGAGGGCGAGGTGGAGGCGGAACACTCCTGGGGAGGAGCTGGACCGTCTCCTGGAGGAGAATCGACAAAAGCGACAGGAGCTTAAGTCGGCTATCCGAAAGGCCAAAGAGGCGGCATGGGATGAGATGATCCGGTCCCTGGACACAGACCCGTGGGGGCGCCCCTATAAGCTTGTGATGAACAAGCTGAGCACTGGGGCGCTCCCTGCGGTTGAAACGATGCAACCGGGTTTTCTTGACGAGGTAGTGGAGACCCTCTTTCCGGCGGGGGACCCGAACAGGGCTCCTTCAAGAGAGGTGGCAATGGGGGAGGAGCACCAGCCTTGGACAGAGGAGCTAAACGTCTGCGGTGCGGAATTGATTCGCGCCGCAAGGAAGCTCAAGGCGGGCAAGGCACCCGGGCCAGATGGGATACCCGGTGTGGCCTGGAAGGCAGCCCTGGGGGAGCTCTCCGGAAGGCTGGAGGGTTTG